CCGCTAAGGTCACATACCTTGGTTGCAGTTTGTCCCTGGCCCCGGTTGGGGTTGTGTGGGTGACAACCAGTCAATGTGTCTCTCTCACATCGATGTTTCTCTTTCTCTCTTCCCCCTTTCTCCCTCCTGCTCTATCTGAAGATAAATACAAAAATGTCCTCGGGTGAGGATAAAAAAAAAAAAAGATATGACTGTGGGCTTCTAATTATAGGAGGATAATTCTGGAGATCCTAGAGTCACATATTAAAAATACTCAAGATAACTTGAATATTGGTCAGTTTATTTATATGTGTGTGTGTGTGTGTGTGTGTGCATGTTGGAAGAAGTGTGCCATTTGTCTGTGTATTCTACAGTCTGGTCACAGCTTCTAATTCTGAAAAACATTTTTAAGAAAGAGGGTGACTTTGAGGAGCCTCATACATCAGAATGCATTGATGACCAACTGGAGAAAAAACCACCAGGAGCTAGCTAAGGGACTCGAGAAAGAGACTGCAAGGTCCGACCGAAGACGAATATCCAGGAAGGGAAGGATCTGTATCTTACACATCATGTATTTGGACAAAGCTTTCCTAAGGATTGTGAAACGTGGAGAAGCAATTGAGGATGTATGCCTTGGTAGCTAACTCAGATGCTGAGAGAGAGTTTTAAGGATTAAGATGACCAGCTGGGGTGATGGAATGTTCTAAAACTGGACTGTGGTGAGGATCGCACAACTTTGCAAATTTACTAAAAATCTCATCTTTACAATAGGTGAATTTTTTTTTTTTTGGGGGGGGGTATGTAACTTATACCTCAATAAAAATATTTACCAAAAGAAAAAAGGTGACTGACAAACCTTTTGCCTTCCACTTGGTTAAAGGGGAGCTTAAATACCATTGTAGATTTGTTCTTCTATTCATTCACTCATTAATGTGCCCGCTCATATTTCTGCCCATCCATCTATGTATCCACTTATAAGCCATCCATCCAACTATCTTTGTTTGGCAAGCTCTTGGATGACAGAAATGAATCAGACATAAACCCTGACTTAAAGTAAGTTGGGGTAGTTAGGATATTTTTGTTAAGAATATTTGGGATCACCTAGCAGAAAACGGATTTGAGAATGAGAAGAAACTGAAATTGTAGTCCACTAGAATGTACATGTGCAAAGGGACCCCTTCTGTTATCCTTTGGGTTGTGGGATGCGCAGGAAGTCTTTGCTCTTGGGAGGGTGGTGGAAGAACATAGTGGTTAAGAACTTTGGCTTCGGCCGGACCTGGGTCCGGGTTCTGTGTAATTGCCTCAAATGCTCTGACTTCTCCAAGCTTCAGTTGCCACAGCTGTGAAATAGGGATATAAATTCCAGTTTTATAGGGTCGTTAATAGAATTAAAAGGGATAATGCTTATAAAACACTTTAGCTGAGTGCTTAGCCTAGAGACATACCCAGTAAATATTAATTATTGTTGTTATTGCGTCTGTGCCCGAGGAGTTGAGGTTCTTCAAACGTACCCTTCTTCCTCAAGGTTTGGAGACCCATTGTTCCCACCAGGATTTGTGCCTTACCCCTTTTCAAGTTTCTACCTAAGATGAACCTAAGTGGAAGTTTCACATCATCTAGAAAGGATTTCTTCTTCTCTGAAACACTGTGGTCATGTGTCCTGCTCAGATCACACTTAGCGCAGTTTGCCTTGTATTTGTGCTACCTCTGTGTTTGGCTCATCTCCCCTCAGAGTCTGTCATTTACTTGTGGGCAGAGAATATGTCTCAAGCCTCTTTGCCTTGCCCCCAGATGCTGTATGGTGTTTCAGTTCACAGAGTAGGGCCCCATACACACTGAGTGAGTGAGTCTTCACTTGCGAGAAAGGTAAGTAGGCTCTGAATAAAGATGACTGGAACAAGGGCCTGGATTAATTGAAAAATACAGGTGTTTTGCATAACAGTCAGGCCCAACCAAAGTGGATTTGACATTAAGGTTGGTTTGCCCCATGGCCCTTCACTGTGTCTTGAGATACAGTTTACCCAGCTCCCTGCGTTGTGCGTTGACACGGCACAGGCTTGACAGAGAGATGCGCTGGGGATGCAGCGTGTTGGAGAGGCTTTGTTCCAGCCACAGGGCGATGTGGAAGGCAGAGGACAGGAACAGCCTCCTGGAGAGAAAGAGAAAAGAAGCCAAGAATACATGTAATAATGGATGCACATGTGACATTGAGTGAAGCTTCATAATGAATGAAAACATGACAACTTAATTTTGGCTCAATTTGACATGGGGAGGGAAGTCCAGGTACTTCCTCTGGCAAAGAGAACTATGACCTGTAAAAACGGGGGTGGGGTGGGCAGGATGAGATTAACCCAAGAACTTACATGCATATTTGCATAACCCATGGTCGCAGACAATGGTGTGGTGAAGGCCTGGTGGGGGGCTGGGGTGGGGTGGAGGAGGTCAGTGGAGGAAAATGGTGGGGGGGCATCTGTAATGCTTTCAACAATTAAGATACATTTGAAAGTAAATAAATAAATAACGTGTTCCTTTGGTAGCAGAAGCATCAAGTTCTTTTAGTTGTAATGGTTATTATAAGCCATCCAAGCCCTTGTAGAAGTATTCTGGATGGACAGAGGTTTTAGATTTCTAACAAGCTAAGTTCTTGCTCTGGTTTTGCTTGGAGCAATCACCAGTTACTAGGTCACAGGTAGTGTTGCTGACCGTGATACTATGGTCACCAAAGCCTTTGGATTCACTCTCCAATGTCCCAAGGAGCAGCTATGTTGTTCACCTTTTATCTCTAGGTTTTCCTACCTGAGCAGATACATGCTCTGTTGAGAAGTATATGAGACTTGGAGTTCGCTGGACACTCATTTTGAGCCCTGGCATCTCCACGTTCTAGCTGGGTGGTAGTGAGTTTGAGCTGCTCTTTTCTTATCTTGAGGTTGAGGATAATCGTCTTACCAAGTTACCTTGAACTTTAGTCATCATCGTCAACATTATCATGATCAGAATCATTATTACTCTCATATCACTAACATTTATTGACCTCTTAGTATGTATGTATCAAGAATTGTTCTAATTGCATCACATGGATTATTAGCCCATTGGACTCTGTCTGCACAGATTAGTAAAATATATATTATGATCCCCATTTAAAACATCTAATATAATGCCGGACATAGGTGCCCAAATTTTATGTTTATTATTTAATAAGTTATTATCATCTTTTAGAATAAATACAACCTAAATATTGTTGTTTTAAAATTCTGTTTCGAAGAAAAAGAGTTCTAGAATGTCATCGCTGAAAGGAATTAAACTGGAAGTTTATATAGTTCAGTGATTTTTGTTTTGTTTTTTCAAAGCCAGAAACTGTTGTTCACGTTATCAGCATGTCAGAAATATAAAAGCACAGCTCTTCAATTTGAATCAGGGATGGGGGCTTGAGTCCTACCTGACAACTCATTTGTGCCCAGGACTGAGGAGTAGTTTGAAAATCACTGATGTCATCCATTCCCAGTATATACATCTATATAGGCAAAATGATTTATCATTTGTTAACTGCAGACCCCGAGTTAGAAATGAGATCTCCTGACTCCAAGATCTATTGTTTTTCATGAGACCACAATATGGGGTGGGGCATGTATGGATAGATGTATTCATATAATAATTAATAAGTCATCATACAAAAATAAACTCTCTGTTTTGCATACTCACAACTGTAAACCTACTTTTGCCACACTCTGTTTGTGATGCAGTACAATTATTATTCACTAAAATGTACCAATTTAAAGATAAAGCACTTTCATACATCTTATCATATTTGAATTCTACAGCATGTATGGTTGGTATAACCTATTCCTCCTAGTTCACCTATAAATGCTGCGTAATATCTAATTTTTTTTTCTTTGAGAATTTGGTGTGGCTGGTAATAGAGTAAAGGGGAGAAAATCAGAGAACAGATATACCGAGAAAGGGTGATTCCATTGAGATAGGCAAACACACTGGTGGTGCTGGCATTTGCCCTGACGGCAGTTTCTAATCCCTGGTGATGGAATCTGACTTCTAAAGGATGCCCTGTAAGTAGACAGCAGACAGAGCCCAGGGTTATTGTGAGACTTGCACATCAAGAACCATGAAGGCTGACTCCTCAGTGAATGATTAGGGAAAATCCATCCTGCATAGACTTGCCTGTCAGTCTTAACTCTGGATGGGGGTATAGGGGAGAAACACTTGTTTTTTTTTTAAAGCTTAGGGCCTGAATTTATTCAATTTTTGTGGTTCAGTTACCATGCCTCAAGGCAAATAAGTCAAATGTCTATCTGTAGTTTAATGGATAAAATTAATTGTGGAAAATCCATACTATGGAATATCATACTGCATTGACAAATGAATGATAGCTATAGATATTAACATGGATAAATAGAAAAAATACACCATAAAAGATATGTACAGTATGATTTTATTCATCTGAAGTTCAAAATGGGCGAAACTGAATGATCTATTATTTAGAAATAAGCATGTATAGATGGTAAAACTATAAAAATATGGAAGGGAGTGATTAACAGAAAATTCAGGAGTTCTGTCTGATGGCTGAGAGGGGATTCCTTGGGGAGGTGTAGTCAAGGGGTGCTGATAATGTTCTGGTTATATTAATTTTATTTTATATATTAATATATATTTTATGTATTTTCTATGTATCATACATAGAAAACAGTTTTTATAACAGTTTTCAAAAGTCATAAAACAGTCGTAAAAAGACTAGTCATGTAAAAAGGTGGTACAAACAGGATTCAGGATCAGTATGGATAAAAGCTTTCAGGAAGGAACAGCTTTACCAAGTTTGAGTATTAGGGGAAAAAAATCTCAAGCATGGGATGGTCCAAAGCTTCCTATTCCTACTCTCCCAGTCCCTTCACATTGCAAGGTGTGTTTTCATGCATGGTGACATGCAGTAAAAATGTTTCATGCCTTATTTATACTTGGCAGTCTTTTATTCTCTCTCTTTTTTTATGATGTAAATATATGTGTTTTTTTAGGTCATAATTTTTGTGCGGAAGGACCTAAATGTGGTGAAAACTCCGAGTGCAAAAACTGGAATACAAAAGCTACTTGTGAGTGCAAGAATGGTTACATCTCTGTCCAGGGAGACTCTGCCTACTGTGAAGGTAAGTAAGCTATTCAATGAAGTCACTTGTGAGAAATGTATTCCTGGAAGACATGGTTGAATTGAAAGCCATCAACTGACTGCGGTCCTCTAGGATCCTGTAGGAAATTCTATCAATTACCTAGGGTATGTATTCTCCTGGTTTATCCTGGCTACTTAGTAGCATGTGAAAGCAAGACCTTTGAAGGTAGTTATGAAACACAGCAAAGCAATGAAGGCAATAGGACCATATCAAATCCTATGTTCTGTGATCACTGTATCACCAGCAAAACCATAAACATTCTTTTCTATTGTCTTATTTGGGTACATTGTCATCTCCAAGTTCAGTGAAATGTTATGTGGTGGACCCCTTTTTTGAATGATGCTTTTACACTAGTTTATACCCAACTGCCATCTTCTTCACTTGCCAAGGTCAGCATATTTTTCATCTTTTTTTTAAAAAATGTATTACAGATATTTCTCATTTTTCCCCTATTGACCCCCTCCTCCCAACTTCTGTCCCCCTCATTCTTTTCCCCACATTATTGTCTGTGTCCATTGGTTATGCATATATACATATAAGTTCTTTGGTTTATTTCTTCCCACCCCCCAACTCCCTTTCCCTTTCAGGTTTGTTAGTCTAACACCAATTTGTACTTCTTAATCCCTTCACCTTTTTCACCCATTTCCCCCACCCACCCTCCCATCTGGCAACCAACAAAAGGTTCTCTGTATCTATGAGAATGTTTCTGTTCTGCTTGTTCATTTTGTTTGTAGATTCAATTGTCGATAGATATGTATTCATTGCCATTTTGTTTGTTCATGTTTTTTATTTTTTTCTTCAAGAATACCTTTTAACATTGGTGGTGATGAACTTCTTTAACCTTTTCTTGTCTGGGAAACTTTATATGGCCATCCATTACAAATGACAGCTTTGCAGGATAGAGTAATCTTGGTTGTAGGTTCTTGCTTTTCATCACTCTGAATATTTCTTGCCACTCCCTTCTGGCCTGCAAAGTTTCTTTTGAGAAATCATCTGACAGTCTTATGGGAACTCCCTTGTAGGTAACTAACTGCTTTTCTCTTACTGCTTTTAAGATTCTCTCTTTTTCTTGAACCTTTTGCATTTTGATGATGAGGTGTCTTGTTGTGGGCCTCTTGGGGTTCATCTTGTTTGGGACTCTCTGTGCTTCCTGGACTTGTATGTCTGTTTCCTTCACCAAGTTAGGGAAGTTTTCTGCCATTATTGTTTCAAATAGGTTTTCGATTCCTTCTTCTCTCTCTTCTCCTTCTGGCACCCCCAAGATGCGAATGTCGGTGCCGTTGTTGTTGTCCCAGAGGCTCCTTACACTCTTCTCATTTTTTTGGATTCTTTCTTCTTTTTGCTGTTCTGATTGGGTGTTTTTTTGCTTCCTTATATTCCAAATCGATGGTTTGCTTCTTGGCTTTACCTACTCTACTATTGAATCTGTGTAAATTCTTCTTTTTTTTTTTTTTTATCCTCACCCGAGGACATTTTCCATTTTTTGTTCAGGGAGAGTGGGAGGGAGAGAGAGGAACAGAGAGAAACATCGATGTGAAAGGGACACACCGAGTGGCTGCCACCCGCACAACCGACCAGGGCCGGGGACAAACTGCAACCGAGGCACGCGCCCTTTGCGGGAACCGAACCTGGGTCTCTCAGGACCGCAGGCCGACGCTCTAACCGCTGAGCCAAACCGGCCAGGGCTGTGTAAATTATTCTTTATTTCAGTTAGTGCCTCCTTCATTTCTGATTGGTCTTTTTTTATGCTCTTGAGGACCTTACTAAGTTCATTTATGTTCTCACTAAGTTAATTGACTATCTTCATAAGCAGTGTTTTGAACTCTGCATCTGTTAGATTGCTTATCTCCATTTTGTTTAGTTCTTTTCCTGGAGTTTTGTTCTGTTCTTTCATTTGGGAACTGTTTCATTGTCTGAGGAGACAATTTTGGCTGCCTCCCTGTGTTTGTTTCTGTGTATTACTTAACGAGAGGTATGGGGCTAGCTGAGACCAGATGCTGCTTGTTTGAAAGAATTTAGGAAAACCTGAAGCAGGATCCAGGACAGGCCTATCCTATGGTAAAGCAACTGGCAACAGCTTGGGTGGGCCTGAAAGTTGGGTGGGGCGGGGCCTCAGGAAATCACCAGGGCGGGGCAAACAGTGTGAGCCAGGTTGCTGGAGTCCCAGATATGGTGGTCGTTTGCTGCCCCAGGGAAGGGCTCAGCAAAGGAACAAAGGTCTCTGACAGCACATCTGTCCAGGAGAAAGCTGCCTCTCCAGCCCTCGCTCCAATGCCAAACAGCTCAGTTCTTCTTCATATGTCTCTGGTGCCTTTCAAGCTGCCCCCCCATATTGGAGCCTGGAGGAAGCGAGTCTGAGTAAGTTCTTGTCCAGGCCCTTTAAGAGGAGCTTCCTGGTGGCTCTCGCAGCCTCCGTTCTCTGAGCCTCAGTTCCTGCTGGTTTTACAGCTAGAAGTTGTGGGGACTTCTCTTCTTGGCACTAGAACCCTGAGCGGGGCACCTGGTGTGGAACGGGGACCCCTCAGTCCTCAGGGAGGACCTTCCCAGCCGAGGTGTCCTCCTGATATTTATCCGCCACACGTGGGTGTGGGCCCAGCCCGTCCCCTTCGCCCCTCCTACTAGTCTCAATATGGCTGCTGCTTTAATTCCGTAGTTGTAGGACTTCCATTCAGCTTGATTTCAGGCGGCTCTGAAGGATGGTTGTTCTGTGGTTTAGTTGTAACTTTGATGTGGTTGTGGGAGGAAGCGATACCACATTTACCTACCCGCCATCTTGACTGGAAGTCCAGCCTTTTTTAAAAAATTGTATTAAAAAAAAATTTTTTTTTTTCATTGATTCCAGAGAGGAAACAGGAGAGGGAGACAGAGATAGAAAGGTCAAAGATTGATTAGAGAGAACATCGATTGGCCGCCTCCTGCACGCCCCCACTGGGGATTTGGCCCACAACCTGGACATGTGCCCTGACAAAGAATTGAACTTTCAACCCCTAGGTGCATGGGTTGATGCTTAACCACTGAGCTACACCAGCCGGGCTTCAATTGTATTTCTTATTGGCTGATTCATTGAGTTACTAATTCCTAAACTCTACTAAAAGTCATAGGGTAGATGGACTCATAACTTTGGCACATGGACTGATGCCATTATATAGTGGCCTCAGCATCAGTGACCCTGATTTTCACTCTAGAGAGCAGAACTCCTGTGTCTTATGTGACCCCTCTTTCTAAGCTCAGAACTCAACCCTGCTAGTGCCGAGCATTGTTCAATCCTGCTCCTTTAAAATACCGGAGGAGCAGGGATGAGCTCTGATCCTGGTCTATGTGGATAGTGCCCCAGTATCTGAGTCCATTCATCCTCAGGTGCTCACAGGCTCCCTCCCATCAGTTGAGAGAGATTCTAATAGGGAAAAAGATGGCTAAGTTTTTCTCTGTCCTGGTTGGACCCAATCTTCCCATTATCTTCACTAACAATAGCAGGATCCATTGACTTTGGTGATCTGTTAATCAGGTGGGTGGATGTTTTGAATGGGATGAATACTGTAAAATCTTGGTCACTCTCAAATGATTTGGTTCTCAGGTGGGTCAGGTAGTCTCAAGGTAAGGACAACTGAAGACAACAATGGTAAATTCCTTTCCATTCTGCTATTTGATATGGTTGACTCCTGCTTAACTTTCTGGCTTTGACTCAAGACCCTTTCAGTTGTTAAAAAATGTGTCTAATCACCACTAGGACTTAGTATATGGTAGGTAGCTTCTGTTTTTCACTTCTTCTGAAAGACTTTCTTCATTACTGCTTTAGTTCTCATTAACAATATAGTTGAACTAATGGATTTTTCCCCTTCTCCTTTTCATCTTTTCTCCCCTTTTTGCTTACCTTTATAGATTTGAACTTGATTATAGACATGGCACGTGGGAGGATGGAGTTGCCCCTTGGGTCATGAAACTTTTATCAACCCTTTAATAGCATATTATTTCAATTTTGGAGGACTGTTACTTTCAATACTTTACATTAATATTTTTTATACTTTTATGCTACGTTCTATTTTTTTTTGTCAGAAAATTAATATAGTTTTAAAAATTAAAAAATGTGAACATTCTCCTCTCCGTTCATCATGGAAAAATCCTGCAAGTTAGGTGATGATTGAAAATTTTCACTTTCTTACTTTCTGCGATATGTGGGGATAGACTGTGAACAATGGTAAAAATGAGAGAAGGAGCCTCAAAATAAACTCAGTTCTAATTCTGCCACTGGCCGACCTTTTAGTTGTCCGCTTGGAACCAGTACACTCACCATTCCTGACTCCTCTTAGCGACTGAGAGCTGGCAGAACCTGGGAGAAAATCACTGGTGCTGATGCTTCCTGGGACTCTGGTTCTCTCCTTGTTGATGCATTTCTTTATTCCATTGAATCAGTTCCAGGGGGAGCCAGTTATGATATTAAACCTGCCCTTCGTGTGAGAGGCCTTATTGTATTCATTATGTGGAGTGATTTTAGGTCTTCAGTCATCTCTCTGTTATCATGCAGACTTTCCATCAGTTTCAGAGGGCTGGTACAGAGAGAAGGATAGCACTGAAGAAGAAATGACTAAGCATTAGAACTCACTCATGGTAGAAGAACAGAACTCAGGGAGGGAAGCAGGGGCCAAGCACTGGGCATCCGGATGGGAGGCACTGAGAGCCAAGTAGGGTGAATATTGGCATTGAGAGCAAATGCCCTTCTCTCTCTCTGTTCTGCCATCCTCAGCACATTGGACTTGGGGCTTAATTTCCTGTGGTTGTGTGAGGGCTATCATAGCCCCCAGGTGTGTTGTTTTTACACCAGTGTCTCAAGCAAGCAAGGAAGGAAGGGGCAGGGGTTTAAAACCTCTGTGTCAGATCCTGTCTTTTCATGTTGAAAGAAAGTCCTTCCTAGAAGCTCCCCTGCAATCTCCCAGCTCCCCCCGCTGTCTTATTTTCCAGACCCGGGGGATGGCCTCCCCACC